TATGTTTCAGTTCTATGTTTCAGTTCTAACAGGACTGCTAACAATTCTAGGCAGTTTATGTGGAGACTCGACTGTTGTGGAGTCCAGGCTCCCCTCACTGCCGCGCCGTCGCACAGGGCTCCCCAACCTTTCAGGGAGGCGTCTGTGGACACCACTTTGCGAAACGACACCCTCCCTATTGGAGAACCCTGATACAGGAGGCCGGGTTCCCTCCAGGGGCTGAGAGCCGTCATGCAGGAAGCAGTTWTTGTTAGCTTTTTGTGTCTGTGTCGAGACGGACACAGCCTGTGGGACTGAGACAAACGCTGAAAACAGTGCATTTTTAACAGCCCAAGTGGTACTACTGAAATCATAGAAGCCATCATTCCCTGTAACTGTAGTATGGTTTTGAAGCTCAGTTTGCATCCCAGTTGAAACTGAGCTAMGCAGCGGTGAAACGCGGCCGCTCTGTTTTCTGAGAGGCGAGCCCTGCTTGACAAGGAGCAGATTTCTAGTCCGAGGAACCAAAACTGCTGACTTGGTGTTAATAGACTTTTTTGGGTGTTTACTGAAAAACCTAAAGTATGAATATGTGACAGAACCTGTGACAGCTAATCTAATGTTTGCTCCTTGGAGCTTGCGATCAGAGCCCAGTCGTCTAAATATGCTAACAGATGGACCCCACTTTCCCCGAGAGGAGTCAACGCAGCTTCTATGCACTTTGAAAAGGTGCGAGGAGCTAGCGAAAGACTGAACCAGATAGTCGTAGGCTACACCCTCGAAGGCGAACCTGAGATTTTTCTGTGCTCCGGGTGAATCGCTATGTGAAAATAGGCGTCTGTTAAATCAATGGTCGCAAACCAATCACCCGGGCTGATCGAGTGAATTAGCTGTTTGAGCGTTAACATTTTGAACCTGTATGTTTGAAGGTACCGGTTTAACACTCTCAGATCCAAAATAGGCCGCAGGCCGCCCCCTTTCTTCGGAACAAGAAAATAATGGCTGTACAGACCTTTTTGTGTTTCTGCAGCTGGAACCACTCGAATAGCTCTCTTTGTTAGCAACGTGCAAATTTCCTCTCTTAAAAAGCCGCTGAACTGTCTTGCTGACTCGGAGGGGGGCCTTTGCTCCATGCCGATTGCCGGGGAGGCTGCGGCTTGCTGGAAGGTTCGGCRGGCTGGGCCTTTGAAGTCCCAGGCGTCGCCGCCTTCTTGAACGGWGGAGGATGAGACGCAGACCTGGATGTGCTCGGGGCCTTGGGCCTCGCATCGCGTCTGGGGATGATGCAGCGAAATGCCTCAGCCTGCTTCTTCCTCTGTTCAAATTTGGTTTGGATGACGTCAAGCGCTTGACCAAACAGTCCTGTAGGCGTTATCGGTTCATCCAAGTAGGCCGCTCTGTCCTTGTCGGGAACGTCTGAGAGCGTTAGCCACAGGTGCATCTGCACCACCACAGTAGAAACCATTCCTTTCCCCAGAGCCAGCGCTGCACAGCGGGACACACGTAGAATGTGGTCTGACTCCAGACTGATCTTGTTCAGCAGGGGTAAAAGGGGTTTTTCCTGCGGCATCTGAGTTGCCAGTTCAGCCAAGGCCATGGCCTGGTAGGTCTGAAGCATGGTGACGGAGCTCAGCGCACGGGCGGTGTTACCTTGGGCTTTGTAGATTTTCTCCAGCTGTGCCGAAGAGAATCTGCAGGACTTGGAAGGGAGCAGGGTGGGCCCGCTCACACCCTGGTTGTGAGACGGAGMYAAATAAGCGGCTAAAGAAGGCTCCATCGGAGGGATGCCCACCAGGCCTGCTTGGTCTGCCCCTTCCACGTCCAAGTACTGACCAAGCAGCAGGGGTGGAGTGAGCTGGGCACGGCTCCTCGTCGTCTTCGGACAGACTGAGAACCTCCTGCTCCATCTGCAGAACATCGTACTCCTCTTGGTTTAGATCCAGTAGAAACTGGGTCTCGCCCCCCTCGATGTCAGGTGAGGCCGCCTCGTGCTCCATCTGGTCTGCCCAGCTAGCAGTGGGGGCTTCGACCGCCGAATCCTCGTCTTCGTCGGACTGAGTCGTCTGGCTGGATTCGGAGAGCATCGGGTCTTGTCGGAAAACAGCAGTTTCCCCCAGCATTTTCTCCAGGAATTTCACTGTCCTCTCCAGTGTCGGACGCGAAAGTCCAGCACAGGCCCGGCGGGACTCGGGCTCCACAAGCACCCGTCGAGTGTGAATGATTCCTAGGCAGGCCGGGCAGGCCTCATGCTGGTCCTTCTCATGAAGCTTAAAGCTGCACCCCTGAGGACAGGGGCGAACAGAAGACTTTGACTTCTTCGAAGGTGGTTTTGTGCTCATCGTGAGCCACAAAACAGATTTTCAGCAGAAAATAAAGGTCACTTAAGTAGTGTCGAGCGCCAGACAAGAACCAGCAGGTAACGTGGTTAGCTCCAGTAAAGCTAGCCTAAGAACCTTAGAAGCTGAGCCAACTAGCAGCAGCTATGTGAGCTCAGGTTCAGAGGTGACTATCGCGAGGTGAAGGGCGATAAAACTGAGTAATGATGCTGGTGACTCTGAACTTATAGGGTGAAGGCGGAGCCTGTTACCCGACGTTCAACGTCACCGGTCTAAAGACGTGATTAGAGGTGGCTTCAGCCAGGGCGCGAGGGTGTGCGTGTCCCATATACAACTGTGTGTTGTACTGAGTGAAATGACTGAAAAGGAATCACCAGTTTTGAGTTTGCTGTTCTTAAGAAGCCTTGCTTGATGTGAATCATGCCTCGCACAAAAGAGCTCTCAGAAGACCTACGTTCAAGAATTGTTGACTTGCATGAAGCTGGAAAGGGTTACAAAAGTATCTCTAAAAGCCTTGATGTTTATGTGTCCACGGTAAGACAGACGATCTACAAATGGAGAAAGTTCAGCACTGTTGCTACTCTTCCTAGGCGTGGGCATCCGGTAAAGACAAGAGCACAGTGCAGAATGATCAATGAGGTGAGGAAGAATCCTAGAGTGTCAGCTAAGGACTTACAGAAATTTCTGGCACATGCTATTTGTGTTGACAAACCTACAATACGTAAAAAATGACGCAAGAATGGAGTTCATGAGAGGACACCACTATCCAAAAAAAATAAAATAAAAAAAAAATTAAAAAAAAGAAAAGAAAAAAAAATTGAAGTTTGCAAAAGAGCACCTGGATGTTCCACAGCACTACTGGCAAAATATCCTGTGGACGGATGAAACCAAAATTGAGTTGTTTGGAAGGAACCCCCAACGCTATGTGTGGAGAAAAAAAGGCACAGCACACCACCATCAAAACCTCATCCCTACTGTGAAATATGGTGGAGGGGGCGTCATGGTTTGGGGCCGCTTTTCTGCCTCAGGCCCTGGACATATTGCCGTCATCAATGGAAAAATGAATTTACAAGTTTACCAAGACATTTTGCAGGAAAACTTAAGATCATCTGTCCGCCAACTGAAGCTCAACAGAGGATGGATCACGCAAGAGGACAACAATCTAAAACATAGATGTAAATCAACAATTGACTGGCTTAAACAGAAGAACATACACCTTCTGGAGTGGCCCAGTCAAAGTCCTGACCTTAACCCAATTGAGATGTGGCATGACCTCAAGAGAATGATCACACCAGATATGCCAAGAATATTGCTAAACTGAAACAGTTTTGTGAAGAGGAATGGTCCAAAATTCCTCCTGACCATTGTGCAGATCTGATCTGCAACTACAGGAAATGTTTGGTTGAGGTTATTGCTATCAAAGGAGGGTCAAACAGTTATTAAATCCAAAGGTTCACATATTTTTCCACCCTGCGCTGTGGATGTTTACATGTTGTGTTCAATAAAACCATGCAAAAATGGAATTTTTTGTGTGGTATAAGTTTAAGCAGACTGTTTGTCTATTGTTGTGACGATGAAGATCACAACACATTTAATGACCAACGTATGCAGAAATACATGAAATCCCAAAGGGTTCACATACTTTTTCATGCAACTATAAATAGATCTTAGAGTGCTGGGGGCCATGCTGTAGCCATGGTCCAAGATTGACATGCATAAACAGGCTTGGACCCTGATCATAACGGCTTGCAGTTCTAGTTATTTCTTATGTTTTTTCACCTAGAAATCAATCTGCATGTAATTACCTAGAAACATTTGTACAGTTTTTATCCTTTATTTTAAGTTTTGTCCTGTAAAGCACTTCGTGCACCTTTTGGCTGTTGTAATGGGCTCTAAATAAATGGTGATTGACTGATTGAAGAAGGCCAAAAGAATGAGTAAATTACTTAAAGGGTGCCATGTGAACTGCTTATAGTGCGACCCTGAACATACCTCAGTCATGAGGATGAGACCTCTGTTGAACACAACCAGGAGTCGGTCCTCGTCAGTCTCCAGCAGAATTCTGAAGGCACTGGGAAGAACAAACAGGAACAGGACTCAGAAGAAAAAAATTCTAGTTATGGTAGTCACAGTAAAGCTCCATCTCCAATGGCACGCTTGTACGTGGTTCGGCCTTGGCCGATTGCGTCTCCATTAGGTTCCAAGCGCGCTAAACCGAGCACAGCCACGTTGTTTTAGAACCTCCTTGCTGGTGGTTCTAAGCCCTGTTTCAATCAAAATAAAAATAAATAAAAATTAAATTAGGCCACGCATCTCTGTTCTCCATGACTGTTGTAAAAACAGCACAACTAATGTGGTCGTCCTGAGAAGTGGGCCTGGGCCGAGTCTCTGCTTGATTTACCACGTGCGGAGCTGGGCTCGCCTTGGCGTTGCTAGGTCACTGGGATTGTGATGTCACTATCACAAGGTTTTGGAAAACGCTTGTATGCTTACACTAAAAAAACCCATTTATATATTGTCAAAAAACAACTGGGAGTATAGTTTTGGTGCTTGGACTGTTTCTGGGAGCAGCACAGATCCAAATTAAAGCATAAAACATGTATAAAAGTGAATTTTGCATAACAGGTCCCCTTTAAGTGTGTGCATGTAAGAGCTAACCTGATGAGAGTTGTCCAGCAGGAGCGTCCGTCCAGGCATCGTAGGTAACAGCTGATGGTGGTCTTCTTAAACTGTTTGATGTCCTCTAACTCTTCCTCTCTCATGTCAGCTTGCTGCGCCACAAAAAGCTGCATCAAGTTGAAGAGCTCCTCCACCGCCTACAGGGGGCAGCACATACAAACATAAGCCACACAGTATTTACTTAAACACTTTCTAAGTTTCTCACACATTTCAAACCATCTTTGCTCTCCCTTTACCCCTGGATACTGGCTGGCATGTGGTGTCAGGTTTTTGAAGGCCCACTGGATGTTCTGGTGCGATGCCAGCTGGCGGGTGAAGGTGGGTGACTGCTCACAGCATATGCGTAGGATGCCGTAGTAAGCTGGCAGCATGCCACGATTGAAGAGCACCACCTCCTGGTCGTCGTGATCAGCCAGGATGTAGTTGAAAGCGATGTTCTTAGTCACTACAGGGTTCTGCACAATGAGCCTGACATTCTCAGGACAGTCTACACACACATTGTACCAGAAGGACAGCAGTGCCTGCTTGTTGTGATTGGTGGAAATGGCTGGCTCTGAGAGTTTGGGCTGAAAATAGTAAAAACAAAAACAGTATGACCATAACACCAGGCAAAAATACATTTTTCTTAAACAAATTGCAAAATATTTTTTGATTTTCTTTATTGCCTCCACCAAGGGAGGAGGTAATGTTTTCGGTTGCGTGCGTTCTCCATGCGTGCGTCCGTCCGTCGACAAAATTATTCAAAAACTTGTGGACTGATTGTCATGGAATTTTTACCACATGTGGATACTTGCTCAAAGAACACACCATTAAATTTTGGTGATGTTCCAGATCACGATGCGGATACAGGCATTTTTTTCTTTTAATTCGAGCGAATCAACCAGGCTACGCGGTGCCATTACGTCAGACGCATGCCTGTAGGAAACAGGAAGTCGCTAACTCGCTGGGACTACACATCCCAGGATGTGTACCATCAGGAAAGTTGTGATTATTCTGTTATCAACTACTTCTGGCGATGTTACATGCTGTCTGGAGACGTAGAAAAAGAAAGGCGATTCTCTTCATGTTACGGTAATAACAGGACACTGACAGCGGAAGGAGGGTCCTGCTGTAGCCGAGCCGAAGATGGAACAGCTGATCAACCTTGTGAGGTACCCCCTCCACATAAGAACTTTATCGTGTGATTGGTCAGAAGTTCGTGGAAGTGTTTGCGCTGAAAGCGCTCAGACGCTGTATTTTGCTTCAACCACTCGCTTAAAAAAAATTAAAATAAAAAACGCTTCATGAGCCGACTGTACCAGGAAGCACTTTATAAAGAGAGTCAAACCATTACAAACTCATACAAAGGGATAAAACAGACGTTTTACATGGTGAAATGTGACTGATGAAAACTTAGGAGCTTAATCCCACACCAGTTTGACCATGAATAATGCCGGGTGACCAGTCTCTGACTTGTTTTTCCACATTGGACTCCACTGAGAAGAAATCCCGTGCATACTGCTGCTTAAATGTTCACTACGTCAGAACTTATTCAGCAAATGTGTTTCCATCTCTGCTTTTGTGCATTAACTCTTACAGGATGGGGGAAATTGGTCTTGGTGGAGGTTTGCACTCTCCGAGTGCTTCTAGTTTTTTTTTTCTTTTCAGCTCATCTAGAACGTCCTTCAGGTCAAAAAAAGTCCCACCCCCAAATAAATAAATAAATAAATAAATAAATAATAAAACTCATCTACAAACCATAAATGACTGGCCATACCTGAAATAGGTTCCAAAGGTCCATGAAGTAGCCAGAGAACATGAGTTTCTCTGTCTTGGAGATGAGGCAGTAAGTCATGAAGCTGAAATACTGAACTAGTTTTGCTGTGCCGTGAACACTAGCGTCCACATACAGCTTGGCCCGACCCAGCAGCCCCAGCAGCAGGTTGTACACCTGGTGTAGCACCACAGTGGTGTCAGGAGACAACGGCAGTTCACGGGTTGGCAGGTGGAGGGAGCGGGTGGAGCGAAACATTTGGCGGAAGGAGTTGCTGGGGATAAGTGAAACGAGGAGGTACGCCGCAGCTGAAGGAAGGAGACAATGATTTAGTTGACTTTAGGAAACATTTTTCTCTGCTTTTTCCAACTGATTAGAACTGATTAGTGTCAGATAAAAAAATCAACTTCTGATCAGTTTAAACTTTATCTCATTTAGTTTTTTTAGATTTTTTTTCATAACAAATCGTATAAACAAATAGACATCCTGCTTTGATTGTTAACAAAGCTGTATAATTGAACTTGTATAATAATGTATAGTTATTCTGTGTGGTTTGTGTAATTTTGTAGTTCTTCTCACATGTGCGGACTCGGGGGTAGTTGTGTGCCAGCAGGAAGCGTTCCACCCAGTTCTCCATGTTCTGCAGTACCCAGCTGTGGGCCAGTTTGTTCCTGGGAGTCTGGACAGCTAACCAGTCCAGACACTGAGATGGATTGTACTCTATCACCTGACAGGAAGCACACAGATTTAAACATCAGATTTAATCTGTCAATATGTCATTTATTAAAGTCTCTGACTAAATAATTTTTTAAAAATCAAACAGTTGATTTTTATACAACTTTTAAAAAGAACATCATTAAAATAAAGTATGTTGTAACATAAAGAGACCCCCTTTCTTTTATGACCTCTGACATAGACTCATCTTTACAATCAGGGTTCATGCAGGTTTCAGTACATTAAATCTAAGACACTTTAAAGACCTTTTAAGACCATTAGGAATGAAATTTAAGACCAAACACGCATTAACAGAAGCATTCAAATAGTCCCAGAATATTTAACAATACAAATCTTCAACTGCTATCATGTCCTCTGGACATGTCCAAACCATCTTAAGGGCTCGACACACGGGAGGCGACGTCGCTCGCTCTCCATTCATTTCCTGTGGAGCCTGTGCGGTGAGGCGACAATCGCTTGCCCTCCTCCAGCTAAGCGACCGGTGAAAATAGTGCATGTGAAATTTTGTGCTCGCACAMGTASACGTGCACACGCGAGCTTGCGACGCGACATATGAAAGTTGAAAAATGCTCAACTTTTGTCGCTGTCGCTTAGCGTACAACCAATCAGCAAGGTTTTCATTGACTGACCAATGAGAGGAGAGTATGCTACACACCGCAGTTAGCTAACACTTTCACCAAGGGATTACTAAAAAAGGCAGCTTTGTGGGAATTTGTTGGCACCAGGGTGAGGTTTATGTAAGTTTTTCCTCATAAAACTGTATCTTGATGTGTGTTTGTTTTTCAATATCATTAGCATCGCAAGATTCGTTTAGTTTACACGTCCGTAATGCACAACCCCCTTCAGAGTCAAGAACCAATCAAATTTCGTGAAGACAAGCGACCTGAGAGAGCACGATTCGCAACACTGCGATCGCTATCGCGTCCCGTGTGTCGGGTTTCACCCTGGCTGCGATGACAGCCGTTAATCGCTGTAGTTTGTCGCTCCCCGTGTGTCGAGCCCTTTAGGCTACTTTCACACCGCAGGTCTTAAAGCTCATTTCAGATTTTTTGAAAAAATATGATCTTGTGGCGTACATTTCAAATGCAACCTCCATCAGACTCCTGTGTGAACGCTCCAAAGCAATGATGTGAAACGCATGCGCAGTAAAAGACGTGACTTCTCATTTAGCTGGCTTGTTTGTTTACAGAGTTAAAATGGATGCTAGTTTTAGCACATCAAACCTGAAGTTGGTGTTTAATCAGAGCCGAATAAATAATTATCTGACATGCTTGTTTAGTTAGTGTTTATTTCTGAACCTGCCTCTGACCCGGATGCTCCAGTGAAGCATTTTATTTTCGGAACGAAGCACGAGCTGGAAATATAGTATCGACTGAGTAACTTTAGGATCAATACGCTCCGCAACCGAGGCTGGATGTCGTTATCATCATACCATCTACATGAAAAAGCAAAAGTAAAAAGACGAAGCAACTGGACTTGTGTTTTGGAGCTGTAAACACATGGAGCTACATATTTAAACTGCGTGACTTGAAGTTAGTGTCTTATCGGTCCTTCACCCCCTCCTCCTGATGAAAAAGTCAGATGAATGTGACATGAGCGTTCACACTGCAGTCACTTTGAAAACATCAGATATGTATTTGATTTAGAGCCACATACTGAAACGGCCTGAGTCGGATTTGAAAAAACCTGCAGTGTGAACGTAACCATCATCTGGTAAATGGACTGTACTTACCGGTATATAGTACTTATATATCCATTCAGGACACTCAAAGTGCTTCACACTACAATCTGTGCCCTTATTTACCCATTCACACAGCACTCTACTAGAGCTTCTACAAAGCTAACATATACAACCATCTATGGAGACTAATCAGTGCCAATCACGTTTATACAATGATGGGACACACATGAGAGGCTTTAGGGGGTAAAGTGTCTTGCCCAAGGACACAACAACTGAGACAGCTGGACAGGGGATCGAACCATCGACCTTCCGGTTCCAGGACGACTCCCCTAACCACTCTGCCACAGCCACATGGTCATTCTACCTCCCAGTTGTTCATCTGTAATGTTTTATTATAACTCCTGAGACTTTTCTTTCTCAACTCCATCTTGGCTGGGACTCTTTCTTCACCTTTTTACCACACTTCCAATTTCCCTGGATAAACTACTTGTAGCCTAACTTGTTCAACTACTCATATAAATGTATAGTTAATAAAAGAGAAGCACCTAGAACAAAATACTTGAGGTCCTATAACTTTGTACCATGTGCTTCTCGTAATCTCTCTGTTCTACCTGCCCACTCCCATTCAGACGCATGTACTCTGTCTTACAACAGCCGAATTTAATTTCTCTTCTTTAAAGAGGACCTATTATGGGGGTCCTAGAACCATAATAAGCTACAGCAAATGGAAAAGATAACATATTTATTAAGACTTCAAAAACCTACTTTTGTTCTAAGGTGAGGTCCAGCAGAAGCTTTATTCATGTAAAGGTCCAATGAGTAATGGTGCGTTCACACCGAACGCGATTTCAGCGTCAGGAGCAGCAGGTTTACATACAAAGTCTATGGTGGACGCGCTTCAAGCAACGTCGGGAAGTTCTGCGGCGCCTCAAGCGCTATTAGAGCAGCGCGATTTGGACAAATCGCTGAAGTTGGGAAATCTGAACTTTTGCAGCTCGACGCGCAGCGTCAACCAATCAGAGAGACTCCAC